CTCAGGAGATCGTTAGTGATGTTAGTATGTATTAAAACACAATATAAATGACAATATAAATTTCATGCAAAAAATGAAAATTGGCGAGGCATTCTCATGTGTTTCCAGCCTTCTGGATCGTTGCAAACAACCCAACCTTACTCTATGATCTTCCTGGAAGCAAATGTGACTACTAGTTTGTAGTGAAAGGGACTATAAATAGGGTTTCAAGTTGCCATAGGTTTCTTTGAAAATTTTGAGATTTTGGACAAGCTTCTTTGTATAAGGGTTTCATATTTTGCTTGTAGGGAGAATGAAGATTATATAGGATAAATTAGGTCAAAGTCATGTGGGCTTGGACCTTGTGTAAAAAGATATGATTTTATCTTATTTATTTTATATTATTAATGAATAAATAAAAATAATAAAAATAAAAATAGGTCAAGGGGTGTAAGGATAAGGTTTTAGGTGTATGAAGAGTATAATACACGTTTGGACTCTTAAACCATGGCCTAATAGCCCAAAATATCAAGCTTGCTCAATTTGAACTTCATGCATTTGCTCAAAATTTCCCAACTTGCACTGGTCATAACTTACTCAATTTTTATCTTTTGAATGTGATCTTGGACTTTTCGGAAAGATCAAGATGTCCTCTATATCCTCTATTTTGATCATTTTTTCTTTTGGAGACTTTATATTGATTTACATTGCCTTGACAAAAAAATTCTTTTTGTTGATTTTTGAAATGACCTGTAATATGTTGACTTATATCTCTCAAATGATGCATTTTATGGACTTGAGCTTAGAGAGACAAATTTTTAGAGAATTGAATTTGCTTCAAAATTGGATTTGGTTGGGGAAAAGCTTATGAAGCATGTGAAATTTATGCTTGGTCAAAGTTCGGTTGACTTCTCCTAAAGAAACCCTAATTTGACAACTTTTGACTTTTAATGATTTGAGGGATTTCCTTGAGGAATCATGATCAAACATTGATAAAGTGATGAATGTGAATTCAAAATGTTTATGTTGACCAAAAATATTGAAGTTTGATTGTATGTTGACCACATTTGACTTTTCACCTAATAAAGTTGATTTTGAGTCATCTGAGCAATTGGCTGAGCAAACTTATGATGCAAGGCTTGAAACTTGATATGAGAATCCTTGAATACATATGAGTACCCATGAAAACCACATTAGACCTTGGAAACACAATCTTCCTTGATAAATACCAAACCCTAGTTGTGGACCCATTGTTTAGGAGGAGAATTTGTTTAATCAATTGTTGAGCAACCTTGAGCATTTGAGAAAGCCTAGGAGAATGTCTTGAAGAAAAATGGGAGGAAAAATTTTGGGGTACAACAATACCTAAAGAGAAACAAGCTCAAATATTCTGACAAAGGCTTGATACATTTCAGAAAACTCTCCAGCCTAAAAAAGGAACACAAGAAAAATGACGATGATGTTGCGTTTTACAAGTATGGTAAATCGGGACACTATAGAACTATGTGTCCAAGTTTCACCAAACATCATAAGATGAAAGATAAGGAAGTCTACAAGATGAAAGGAATTTTTTTAAATAAAATGATCATACCAATTACGATGATCTAGGACTTAACATGCTGCAAAAGTAACACTAGCAAATGATAACACTAATACAACAAAAATAATACAATACAATCAAAAATATGTTTGGACACATCGTCCTTCACTTGTCTTGAGAATTCATAAATATTCCTAGACACTCCTGCACAAATCATCAATAGATAGAACTAGGTATCCAATTTTAGTTGGGTCCTTTAGGGTTAGTTGGGGTACACTTAAGAACCCATACCATTTTACCATTTGCAACTTGGAAGTTCCTAATGTGCCATTAAGTTCTAATGTGCCTTATCATCATAATAATGAGAAACCACTTTAAATGAAACGCTTCTTCTATTTCTCCTAGTGTCATGAGGGTTTTTCATGAAAATCGTCACTTTATCACTTGAAGGACTAGAACAAGTACAGTATAATAAGGCACATTATTCTTGCAGGATTTATCAATCTGAACAGTCTTGAAGTTTTGAATCTTTCTAGTAACCACCTAGTGGGAGAAATACCTCAAGGAAATCAACTCTTAACATTTTCAAATGATTCTTATGAAAGAAACTCGGGGTTATGTGGATTTCGCATGTCAATAAATTATGGATATAAATAATATTCTCTACCTTCATCCGAAATTTGGAGTGAAGAGAAATTTGAATTTGGATGAAAACTAGTGACAATTGAATATGGGTGTCGAATGGTGTTTGGAATAGGACTTAGATGTTGAGTGTTGTTAACAGGAAAGCCTAGATGGATTGTGATGATGGTTGGAGGTCTGGCTAAGCAAATAGTGACAAAGAGGTCAAGAGTGAGAAGAACTCATGGTTCAACCATGAATTAGATGATTCAAATGTGATAGCTTTATTTATCATATTTTCTTTTAATTGTTTTTCTTTTGCATCAAAATTATTTCTTATATGCATTAAAATTATTTTTCATATGTATCAAAATAGTTATTAATATGCATAAAATGTAAGTATAAGAGTGCGCCTAAGAGGGGGGGTGAATTAGGTACTTTAAAAGGTTTACCGTTTTAGTGATGATGGATATTATTTTTCTGGTTTAGTGAATGAGTTTACAAATGTGTTTCTTTCTTTTCTGGTTTATGACTAGTGATGAAAGCGGTAAATGCGGAAAAATAAAGAACCAAAATATGTATCCTGGTTCCCCTCACAGTCCGAGAGTAATCCAGTCCCCTTTTAACATGGAAGAGATTTCCTTATTGTTAGATCTCTAGACAAGACACCCTAGTCCTTCTATACAAGACTCTAACCAATAAAACCACCAAGAACAATCCTCTTGGACCAAGAACAATCCTCTTGGATTTTCACTATGTCAACAATGAGAACAATCCTCTCAAGGTGACCTTACTTGTATCCAACAATCCTGGAAAAATAAGATTTCAAAATCACTTGAACTTATTTTCAACAATCCTGAAAAATAAGCAAGTATATAGCAATATTTGATTTGAGTGAATTTGTGTAGCAATGATCACTTTAAGTGATTCTATCAATGAATTGATCTTCTCTTCCAATGATAATAGTATACAATGACTCAAGATATATAATGCTCAAAGTTTTCTGTTTGACAATATGTGAAAGTGTGCAGAAAAACTTTGTGTATGAAAGTGAAGAAAAGCTTGAGTTTGATATTTGAAAATTCAGAAAATATGATTGGAAGAGGTGTTGAAATGATTTTGAAAATGAGTATTTATATGTTCATAGCACCTTTTTGAAATAACATAAAGTTTTGGAAATGAATCATGAAGAATTGCCAAGATTGAGTGAAAGGTTTCCATGAAATGGTGTTATGAACAGGCATGTGCAAAGCTGCTGTTTTTCAAAATCGTGCAGCATGCAATTGATTGCATCCTTTGTGTAAATCGATTACACGGGGTTTCAACAGCTCAAATTTCTAAAAATTTGAGTGTACAATCGATTGCACAAGAATGTAAATCGATTGCATGTGAAGTCAGTAGTAAAAATTGATTGAGTGCAATTGATTGCATAAACATGTAAATCGATTACACTTAGAAACAGTAGCAAAAAATTTGAAAAATTGAAGCATGCAATCGATTGCACTAATATGCAAATCGATTGCACTAATATGCAAATCGATTGCACTCAAGTAAAAAATAATTTTTAGCTTAGAAAAACTTGAGTAAAGATTTGGACAATATAAAATATTTCTTTTGACCATTAAGCATCTATGTCTTAAGTTCAAAGTAAGTATTATCATTATACCTTGAAATTTGTTAAGTGCTTGAACTGAAGACTTTATCCATAAATGCTTTTAGCTTGATCAATAATCTTTGCCTTCTTTATCACTCATGGTTTGTCTTCATCAAAACAAAAGTACGTTTGAGAAGCTTGATTTTATATAAAAATTATTTTTCATTTGCATTAAAATAATAATTTAGTTGCATTACATTCTTTTCTATTAAATTCACCATGTATCAAACGATTTGTGCATTAAATTTTTTTCCATAAACAAAACATATTATTCTAGTTCAAATATTTGTCGATGATATTATTTTTAATTCTACTAACAAGTCTCTTTGTCAAGATATTTGCTAGTTTGACACGATGAATTTGAGATATCTTTTATAAGAGAATTGACATATTTTTTGAGATTGCAAATCAAACAAATCGAAAAAAACACTTTGAAAATGTCTGCTCACTCCTTGACCGAAATGAACTCCTTTATCTAAGAATTTTTAATACAACTCCCCACATTCATTAAAGATTCTATTAACATTAAACACCATGTCTTGACACCCTAACTGATTTCTCTTAAAGATCTCTACACTATTACCATTAAACACCATGTCTTGACACCCTAGCTGATTTCTCTTAAACATCTCTACACTTCAAACCCACTAATCTATCAATTTCTTTCTTATCACTTAGCTTAAAATATATGTCATTCTCTCTTGAATCTAATTTTAAAGAAAAATTAATCTATACTCCTACATTTATACTTTCACTTTTACAAATCATATAAGATTCTAATTTTATCTCTTTAATTATAAATCCTAAATTATATGATGATAATCTCTTGTAAACTTCATATACAAATCTTAACAAATACTAAGTACAAAATCTTAACAAATACTAAGTACAAAATCTTAACAAATATACACTTAATGAAAATAGTAGTTCTAAACTCATTGAAGAACATAGTAGCGAGTGTTCAAAAGTAGGAAAAACCAGTTTACCTGCGGATTACCCACGGCTAAGCCGTCGCTGTATAATAAAAAATAATTGGCCCATGCAGGTCTCGAACCTGCGACCTTCGCGTTATTAGCACGACGCTCTAACCAACTGAGCTAATGGGCCAGTTGTTATTAGCGTCTTCTTAATAATATTTAACTAAAATAAATATTGATAACATAGAAGCGATATTTGAAGATGCTATGGTTCACGAAACAGTGGAGAATGGATAATATTACAGCAAGCGAAGTAGCTGGTTTGGCTGTGGGTGTTCTTCTTCTTTCTGCTACTATTGCTGCTCCCAAAATTGATGTTTTCTTCTCTTCTTCTCAACGCAGGTTCTTTCTCTTTTTCTTTATTTCAATTTTTTGTTAGTATCGCTTTTTGTTTTGGTTGTTTTTTGTGTTTTATCAATGACCCATTTTTGAAAAAAAGTTGTCTAAATGATTCATAAGCACTTAGATAGAGGAATGAAATCAAAGTTAATGCCTTTTTGTGTTGAATCCTGAAAGTACTGTTTGTGAAATTTGATAGCTTTGTTGCAATTTTAGAAGATTGGTAGAAAGTGGAGATAGGTTTGATTATTGAAAGGTTGAGTTCAATGTTTATGAGCTATTTAGATTCTTGACTTCAGAATCTGCACTTAGCTACTGATTATTCCCTCTGTGGCGCTGATACCTCTGAAAAATGCGTGTTCGTGTCAATGTTGCACACCGACACTGACACTTGTGATTACTCATTTTATCAAATTATTTCCAATGTTGACGTGTCTCTGTCGGTGTTGTATTCTGTGTCCGTGTATGTGCTTCATATATTATTCCTAATTATCCAATGTTCTATGAGGCATTAGCTAATCTAGTATTCCGACTTGAAAGGGTTATCCAATGTTTGTGCCCGTGTCTGTTCTTCATTGATTGTTTTTTGTTTTGTTTGTAGAAGTATAACATTTTCACGACATAAATGTCGGAAACTACGGGCTCAAAACACGGTTTTCTATTAGTGTTTTATTAAGTTGTTTATCTAAACAAAACCAAACTTTAGTAACACAATAGATTTTTCTTTTTGCTGCCTCTTTTCTGACATATATTTCACAACTTTTTACCTGCAGCTCATTGGGGTTGTGCAAGCGATGTGGCAATGTAAGAAGAACGGCTTGTGCTAAATGCAAAGGAACCGGATCGATCAAAGAAGGAGGGTTACTTAGTTTCAACTTCGTAGATGATTTGTTAGAAACAATCGTTAATCGTGAATCACAGGTGAAGAAGATAACTTGTGTAAATTGTCAAGGCAAAGGTTATTTTCCATGTCCCGATTGTTCTTAACTGTAATCGTTGTTTTATCTTCTTTGCCTATAAGTATTTTCTTGCCTACAATATTGAATCTCAACGTGTAAGTGTAACATTGTGATTTTGATCCTTACAGACAATGTGGTATATGTAACAATAGTTAATCTTCTGCTACTCATGTAGATTCACTTATCATTGTGGTTAAACACGAGTGATTTGTGCGCAATGTTTGTGAGTGTTGTGAATTCTGAGATACCGAGTTTGGTTCCTGCTCATAAAATTCATTTTATTTAAGTAGTTGTATCGCGAATTAAGCATATATTTGTCAGATTTGTGTTCGTTCATCTGTGCATGATAATGAGCTTATTGGATTTTAAATTCTACAATTATTATCTTTGTAAAGTTAAAGTTGATATTTGAGAATGTTTATTCATATAACTTCACATATTAATGTTTGCTTCTTATGAATGTATTGTATAGAAGGGTTTGTCTGAGCTATACGTGTTTGCTTCTAGAATTTGAAAATGTATTTTCGTAAGCACGTCATTTTACACTTCATTCATTCATTCACTCGTAAGTGAGTCACACCTTAATTTTATCCAAAAAAAAGTACAAAAATATACTTTCAGAATGAATCTCTGAGTATATTTTTGTATTCTAAATGTGTAGTCATCTCATACATATTGACCAAAATCCTCGTATAGCAATGTTAGTTAAGAAACTCAGTTATGCTGAGATAGTTGAAGAAACAAGGCATGTTACCATTGTTTTACATCAAGGCATGTTACCTATAGACAAGGCATTGGCGAGAGTTAGAATAGAAACTAAGAAAAAGCTTGGATCTCTTGATTAGTAAAAGCTATACAATAATTGCATCCACTTAAGTACTACTTTCTATTAAATTCTTTTGGTCTCTCAGCCACTAAACACAGCAGAAATATACTTTCGAACTTACTTTAGAAATATATTTTTAAATTATTTTAGCTTTTATAAAATGAGTGTGTAGTTTTTTTTTTTTTTTTTCATGAATTTAGTGTATTTGAGATGCGCTCGAAAATGCATTTTCAAATTTCAGAGGCATTTGATGGGAGAAATAATTCTCTATTTTATTGGGGGATGTTCTTTCCACCCTTATGTATGCGCATTACACCCTTGAAAATTAAAAAATGACCTTCATGCGTCCAAATCACACCAAAATACGCTATTTTGAGATCTATTCTATTTTATATAAAAATACGAGCCGAAAATGCACCTCTGTAAGCATGAAGGGCATATTCGGATATGCATCTCCGAAATGTTTCCTAAATCATTTCAGGGCAGTACCATTGTTCCAACATTGCAATTTTTTAAGGTCAAGTTATATTAAAGTAAAATGAAGTTATATTAAAGTAAAATGAAAGTAAATAGTCACACATTAATCCAAAAAGTCAAGAACATACATAACATTTGTCCAAAAATACAAAAAGTAATACATAAAAACATAAACTATTGGGTGTGTCTTACCCTCTGCCTCCTCATTCGTTTGTACTGCACGACATTCTGTAACTCAACAATCATGTTCTCCACGAGGGCTAACTGGGGACTGTCATCCTTAAAGATTCTTGGCTCCTCTACCCACTCCATAACACGTCGATACACCGCCTGATTAGCTGACCTAGGTGATCTTACAGGAGCGTTTGGTGTCAAGATAAATTATAACACTCTTTAGAACCATGTCATGTAGTCGTCAACATAAGCCCAGTGTACATGAGCTGACACCAAGCGATATCCTTCTCGTACCAAGTGACTCTCAAAATCATCCAGTATCACACCAAGATCTCTATGGAGGACACCAAGAGGAGAAGAATCATATGGAGGTCTCGAAATAATCTGCAAATAGGCAAACTGGCGCATCACTCGCTCACGCATATGAGGATACATCAGAGATAATCCACATGCTAGTCATCCAAAGTATAACAAAATAATGTCAAACTGACGCTGTTGTACCCAAAAATTTTCCTCTAAGATCCCTCATCATACTTCGTACATTTCGCACATAGCATTGGCCTCATGGTCATAAGATCGAAGAGCTCTGGCATTAGGGTTTCTCTCTCTGAATGGTGGTTGGTCGCTTCAAATGAAAGGTGGCTAGAATCTGTGGATTTAATTGAGATTGAGTTACATAACCTTCATTAGGTCATCTGACGCATCATGCATCATTAGTCGATAGTTCGGCTTGAGATCATGGATTTCGAGGAATTAGGTTTGTTGAATGGCTTTAAGGCTCTTGTTTTCGCACAAGCTTGTTTCGGTTGATTTCTCCATCAATCATCTGTTCGAATTGGGATTTTATTTCCTGGACTTCTTTATCATCAAACTACATGGATATTCTCTCTCCTCAACATCGGGTTGTGATCTTTCTTCAATGCTTAAGAATTAGGGTTTTCTTCTGTTATGCTTCAACTGGGATCATTGGATTAAGGCTCGATCTTGTGGTTATCTTGGGTTTCTCCTTCTTTAACATTATGGACTTGTTTTGAACGATACGGTTTTTGGTTCTCATCAAATATTTGTTACTTCAATCGCAAGTTAACTTGGACTATTGAGAGAAATGACTAGTGATTCGGGTTCGTTGAAACTTCTAATTGTGCTCAGAGTTAATATTGATTCAAGGGCTTATTAAGTTCATGACTTTGTTAACGGTTGATTCAAGATATGGTCAAGAGCTTATTTAGCTCATTTTATCAAATAAAAGATGTTTGTTTCAAATGCAAGATGACTAGAATTTATGGATTCAACTGAGATTAAGGTTCATTGGCCAAGCACGCCATTTGAAGTCAACTAAGTTAGACTTGTCATGAACGCTTGAGTTACATTAAGGATTGATTTAAGATAAATGTGAAATTCTTGTGAATCATGGATTGAGATGTTTCTTATACAAGTTTGCAAGTATAACGTGAATTAGGGTTTACTTCCTCATTAATGTGATGGCCATGGAGTTTCTTTTGTGAGGTCTTACTTCTCTACAAGTTTGTTTAGTCAGACGACATACTTGATATCACCAAAAAGCAGGTTTTGTTCATTAAGGTTGATATCATTTTACTTAGGATGCTAAGTTTTCTTTTGAAGGACCTCATTCAAAAGAGGAGTTTGGGCATGGAGTTCGGCATTAATTGAGTTGGATTACTTCCGAGAGGTTTTGGACCAAAATCATTCTTAAGCCAAATGTTGACTCTTGATCTTATTGATAGTAAGGCCTTGAAAGTGCAAATTCATTTAAAGGAAAAGAGTCGTTGCCTTACATCGCCTTAGTTAAGCAAAGTTCAAGTTTTATAGTATCACCATTCAAGTTCATTATTAATCAAACACTACTCATAATTCATCGTCCAAAACTCAAAAGTGATTCAAGATGGTTGTCCAATCAAATTTCATTCAAGTATATAAAGTCCATACGGAGATTTCAAGACGCATTCACCAAGATACATTTAGGGCATTATGCACATTGCACAAATAAAGATTACATACGAGAATCCTATTGTTCTGAACCTATTCTAAATGGATTCACATTCCAAATGACCATGCTTCGTTGTAACTTCATATTTCTCTAATGTGTTGAACACCAGCACCTGCTTTACGAAGGAATAGCCCTGCATTAGAACATCAGAAGATATAAAAAAAGAAAGCAGTAGAGCTAAGGGTGAAGCTTAGAGCCATGCTTGAGAACAAAAGCAAATTAATTGAGTTGTACAAACAGGCCGCTGCTGAAAATAACAGAAATATTACTAAAAGAAGAAATTCTCAAGAAATTCGGGGCACTTATATGGCTACAACAATGCCAGCAGCAAGTTTCCAAAAGCTCAAGTCACTACAAGGCCTAATCGGTATTTGTCGATTGCAACTAGTGGAGGCTTGAATCAACATAGAACTGGGATTACAGATGCTGTTGCTGTTGCGCGAATTTTGAATGCTACTTTGGTTGTTCCAAAATTGGATCAACGATCTTGCTGGAAAGACTCTAGTAACTTTTCAAAGATCTTTGATGTTAATTGGTTTACCTGCCAAAATTATCAAGCAACTCCCAAGTATTAATAAGGGTAGGAAAGCATTATCTGCATATAACATGTGTGTTCCAAGGAAATGTAACGAGAGATGTTATATAAATCGTATACTGCCTGTACTCGTGAAAAAGCGTGTTGTTCAACTCAACAAGTTTGACTACAGGCTTGCAAACAGTTTGGGTACTGAGTATCAGAAGTTGAAATGCAGAGTTAATTACCAAGCTCTAAGATTTACTGATCCAATACAAGAAATGGTTGGAAAATTGGTCAAGCAGATGAGGATGAGAAAGAAACATTACATTGCATTGCATTTGAGATTTGAACCTGATATGCTTGCATTTTCTGGATGTGACTATGGCAGGAGAAGAAAAGAATTTCACAATTAAATTCAAGCTCCGATTCAGTAACAGCTGATAAAAGAAAATGAGAAACAAAATTAAAGGGGAAAGAAAAAATCCAGTTTAAAGGAGAAGGAGTTAAAAAAAAATTGGCAAAGGAGAAACAGAAAATCAGAAAATCATTAAATCAGAATATGCACTAACAATAATAGAGTTTTCTTAACTTCCAGCTCATCAACTTCATACCTATAACAGAATTCTCTAACAAAGATAACAGTTTCAACTACCTTGAACCGGCTAACTAACTGGCAACAGAACGATATAACCAACTTCTGTCAATTTCAATCTCTCTGTCAATCTATAATAGAAAATCCAACCACCTGAACAGAATTCCCTAACTTCCCTAACTGTTAACAGAACTTTAGACCAACCTATAACCAACTGTAACAAACTTCCAAAAAATCGCTAACAGATTCTAAGAGCAATGACAGAAAGGGAGGGGAGGGATTCAGATTCATTTTTTTTAACTCTATAGAAGAGATTAAGACAAAAAAAAACTTACGAAGGGAGATTCACGCTGGAATTATGTAGAAGAATCTTCATCTTTTCTTGCTCTAACCTCATTCTCCCCTACCTAATCATCCTTCTTCCTTCTCTACAA